CATCCATGCTACCCGAGCTGGTCACTTTCCTGTGGTGGATGCTTTGTTAAAAAAGTATGCTGATACTGATGTCCAGGGAACAGTAAGGAAATTTATTTTGTAGTCAAAGACTCCTATCATATTTGATATTCATACACGGGTATGTCTTTAGGCCTTTTTTTTTACAAATTAAAAATGTTTCATTATGTTCAAAACATAACTTAATGTTTCTTTATTAATTAATAATAAATATGAGCTTTTGTACAAAAATTAAGTCTTTGAAGTACAATGTACACGACTGTTTTTAAATCTAAATATATTTGTGGTTTGGTCAGACTTAGGTTTTTTTTTATTTTTGATAGCTGGTTTCTGTTGAAGTTATATATATTCATTCTTGAATAATTCGTCATTAACAGGATAAAAAGACAGCATTTTACTGGGCAGTAGAGAAAGGCTATGTTGATATTGTCCGCATCATTCTGGCTGCTAATCCAAACTTAGAAATCCCTACCAAGGTGAGTGCAGTAGTCTCTCAATATTTCACTCAGTAAGTTGAATCATAAATTTTAATAATTTTGTATCATCATTATTTTATTGTTTGGATAACATGGGTACCACTTTCTGTATTCTGTCTTTCTATTTTATTATTTCTGTGTAAAAAGAGAAAGAAAAATATTATTATAAGTAATGGAAGTTATCAATAAACTGGATTCCACACATCGTTGAACAATTCATCCTACCCTGATGTAATTAGAAAAATATCACTTTTCTTTAGCTGCAGCTTAGAGTTTTTCAAGTACAAACTTTTAGCTCATAGTTACGTCATCTCTTGATCGATTTGAGATCTAATTACAGTTTTGGACTCAGGAGGTCAAACCCTTTCGATTGATGTATTTGACCACACCCAAGGCCTCATACATTAATTTACTCTAATCCTGCCTAAAAGAAGTTCAATTTGAAGGTAGGCTAGTAGAGATCCTGATGAGTAATTAAATCGAATATGGTACATGAGTGCCCCATGCTTGATATTGCTGGTGCACAAAAATATAGCTTATAAATAGGAAAAAAAGGTCTCGTAGATTAATTAACTTATCCTGCCTAAAAGAATTTTAAGTGCTGCAGCTATTGAGGATTCCCTCTTGTTTTTGTTTGGAAAATGTGAAAATAAACTAATAAAATTAGCTAAGGAATTTGATAACCCAAAACATCTTTCAACCATATGATATTATGACAAGGAAGAAATTCTTAACTGACTACTTTGTGTGTTATTGAAACCTTTGACTGCATTTTGAAGTTTTTAAACAAATGAAGAATTAATAAATACTGTTTGTCAGCTGAGAATTGCATGTTGGTAATAGCAGTATTCAAAATTTCTTCAAATATATAACAGTATGTGCAAAAAAAATCAAATGTTTCTTTATATTTGTTTAAGTACATTTGCAAATGTTATCACATTTAGAGACTGTTAGTTTTTCTGTTGGTGTTATCGAACTCTTAAATTGTCCAATGTCAGGTAAAAAGTTTTTGATAATGTTCATTTTTATAGTTTTTATGCAACTGTAGATTTATGACTATTTATTTCATCCCAAATTTTAATTTTTTGAAACCAGTACTGACATCCTTTTTTTTTTTTTTTTCAGGATGGTGATACCCCTTTGATGAAAGCTACTAGAAACAGAAATATAGAAATTGTGCAGATGTTGGTTGATAAAAAGGCAAAAGTTTCTACTCAAGATCGAGTGAGCTTTATTTCTTTTAACACACTTAATTATTTAATTGCAGTCTTGAATTTTTCACAGTTAATTTGCTGTTGAAAAATATGTTTTAAACTCTGCTGTTCTTTCTCTAGAAGTCATAGTTATTGATCATCTCAAGTACACAAAAATGGTAGTAAATAACTAGACTTGTAGTGTATTATTATACACACACACACACACACACACATATATATATGTATATTACTATAATGAGACTTAGCGTGTATACATGTATCTATCTATGTAAGTGACCGAAATAATAAATACAATTTGGCGCCATCTATTGGATGGCACCACAAACAAAAATCCATAAAAACTTTTGCGCTTTGAGTATTCAAGATTCAGACAATTAGAGAAATAAACTTGGTATGTGCAACAACCATTTCTTTATAATAGAACACAATTTTAAATAAAAGTACTCTCCTCACAACAAGAAAACGACTTTTACTAGGACTGTATGTGAGGGTTTGAATACATTTTTATTGATGTAGTATTGAGAAATTAGAGTTCTTAAAAAACTATTATTTTTTCAATAAAGGATAGCACTTTTAATATATAGAAACATTACAGTTTATATCAGTAAAATTTATGAAAAGTTTGAATTATTTTGATGCAATGAGTTATGTTTGACTAAAGAGCACAATCCAAAAACTTTTCCTCTGCAGTACTTCCCACAAAAAAATTATTTTTTTAGAAAATGTTAACTTTTCTAAATTTTTTTCAATGAGGTATGAATATTAGAATTAGAGAAACAGCTGTTTATTCTAGTAGAATATAAAGAGAAGTAGCAAGAATGTAAAACATCTTTGTTTGTAACCCAGTTTTAGATACATTTGTTTACAAATCTTTTAAATTAGTCGTGCTAACTGGTATCTCGGGACTTTAGTCTGTTAAAGTGGTATTTTTAATTTCCCATGTTTGTACAGAAAGGAGATACAGCCCTTCATATTGCAATGCGAGCTCGCAGCAAAGCCATTGTGGAGATTCTTTTACGAAACCCAAAAAACAGTCAACTGCTTTATCGCCCAAATCGTAGTGGTGAAACACCCTACAACATTGATACTAGTCATCAGAAATGCATACTTTCTCAGATATTTGGTGCTCGTAAGTATTGTTTTATTTTACCTTAATTTTTATTCTTAGCTTATATTTGTAAAGTGGGGTTAGTTATATGTGAGGTTTATACATGTTTAATAAATGAATTAAATAAAATTGATAACAATTATAATTCACCTACTTAAAATGGTTCACACACTAACAGTCATTATTCATAAATATTAATAAAATACATAGTGCCCAAACCACTACTATGTCTATTGTGACCCAGCTCAGCGTGATGAGCCCTAGTATTGGTGTTAAAGGCCTCATTATCAGAGGTTGGCTTATTATAACATATTTTTCTTAGCTTTCACTCGGGAGTTTTTGGAATTACAAATGTTTTTTTTCCCTGTTGACTTTGTGATTACTTGACTTTCTCCAGGAACTAGAAAACTAACCTATTGGTTTGCCAGTTCTTCAGAATGATAGTAAAGTTAATTCAAGTAAAAAACAATAAAAATAGATAAGTTTGATAAAAATATAAATAAATCAGTAATATTGTGTTATCAGTACTTATCCTGAAGATCTAATTTCTAAATGATTTAAATAAAATCAATTATAGTCCACTTACTTATTAAAACCATAACAGTCATTATTCATAATAATTGATTATCTAAATAACAACTAGTTTACTACTTTGTCTGTTTGTCCCAACTGATCTGATGAGCCCTGATGAAAGTTGCAGGCTGAACAGGTTATTGCATATGTAGTGTTGTCAGCATATTATAAAATATTATTCTTTGCTTTCAAGCATAAGTTCTTAGAATTATAGTGGAATTTTTAGAATATGTAAGTCATTATTTGTAAAACAAATATAAAATGTAACAATTTTTATATTTTATAATGTACTTTTTTTTATCTTCATGAATTTTGATGTCATTTTGTTGTTGATATTGCCTACTTTTATCTTCGTGAATTTTGGTGTCATTTTGTTGTTGATATTGCCTGCTTTTATCTTCATGAATTTTGGTGTCATTTTGTTGTTGATATTGCCTACTTTTATCTTCATGAATTTTGATGTCATTTAGTTATTGATATTGCCTACTTTTATCTTCATGAATTTTGATGTCATTTAGTTGTTGATATTGCCTACTTTTATATTCATGAATTTTGATGTCATTTAGTTGTTGATATTGCCTACTTTTATATTCATGAATTTTGGTGTCATTTTGTTGTTGATATTGCCTACTATTATCTTCACGAATTTTGATGTCATTTTGTTGTTGATATTGCCTGCTTTTATCTTCATGAATTTTGGTGTCATTTAGTTATTGATATTGCCTACTTTTATCTTCAGGAATTTTGGTGTCATTTTGTTGTTGATATTGCCTACTTTTATCTTCAGAATTTTGGTGTCATTTTGTTGTTGATATTGCCTACTCAACATACTAAGATGTATCATATTCCTAGTATTTTTTATTTACACTATTTGTAAATTCTCAAATCCATGATTAGGATATTATAAAACTTAATATTAAGCAAGATACAAAGTATGAGTAATTAGAATAATCCTATATATATATAAACGAACACTTAATAACTGACAATAACTAAAGAAAATGGATAAGGCTCACAAAACGTCGAAAATATTGTATAAAAAATAGTATTCTCTCGAAAAATAACAGACACGGTAAATAAAATTCACTTTAAAACC